TTCTTGTGAGTTAATGTTGTTGATATAAGTTGCTGAGGACTCCCTTTGGAATTGTTCTTAGCTGATTGCAGGTGCAGAGACTCAGCAGCAAGTTCCTGGAACCGCATCAACGGAGGATGATAGGTCAAAGTCAGCACCTACTTCCCCATGTGATCAAGGTGGAATATCTTTTCTTATTTCCTAACTGATATATATTAATTTCCTTGACTATGAGGAGTAAAGTTGCTATTGCGATCACTTTTATTGTAAGCATAGGAAGATTTGTAGATGGTACCATGGATCCTAAGTAAGCCTTTATTTATCTGAAGGATAGTTAATAAGTTTTTGCAATGAAATTGCCTTCTTGAAGTGCCTTGTTGAGTATTTGTGAAAATAGCAACTTCCCTTTGATTAGACTATGCTAGAATGTCTGTGTGGCCTTTAAAGATAAAGGTGAGGATATGAAGATAGCTTTATGAAGATAAGACAATGTTTCTTGTCAGACATTCTTTTCATGCATTCATTTGGAAACAAATATTTTAACTTTCAATGATTTGACCAATGATTTTATTGAAGAGGACAGCCTGACAGAATGCATGTCAGCAGCTCTTTTAGAACCTGATCTGATTTATGTTTTAAAAATCTGAGCTTGAGGTATCTTATGTACCATCCTGTGAATACAAGGATGTATAAAAAATCTCCTTTTGCATCCAGAGATAGGAAGGCACATACTTTTGTGTCAAATTCTTGGGAAATTATTTACAGCTGGGAAAATTGCCACTCCTATTTTGAAGAGGGAGAAAAGCTTTCCAAACTCAATGGCAATACCTATTGTAAGACTGAGTCCAGAACTAATTATAAGTTTCACAAGCAGCCCTTTGGTTGAATAGTATTTTGAAAGTATCCGAGGTTTTGGTTCAAAGAACAGCAACGAAAATATCTAAATTCTATTTAAATAGAATAGCTCTTTTGAGCTGCCCACGAAAGTTACTGCTTCTATGGCTATAAGAAGAAAGCTCTATGTAAGTGCTTGAGGCAGTCACTGATGTCCACAAGGACTCAGCACACAACCTTTAGGAAGCTTCAGAACCATTTAGCAGATCTATAGTTCGTGCTTGAAGCAGCACTCAGGTGGCCCTCTGCTTTATTGGTGAGTGCCTGATAACGACTGGAGTTGAGTAAGATGCTCCATTCACACTGACTTCAAGTAGAACTGGGACACCCAACTATCCTTTGAACTTTTGAAGTTCCATCTATAAAATACTTAAACAGGAAGATGAGTAAGTGCTTCAGGAAGACAAGGGTATCAGTATAAAACAAAGGACTACTCTGTGGTACAGGAACTCCCCAAAATCTCTGAAACAACTACTTGGCCACTACTCCGACTTATCTTTCAAGTTTTGGCTGTGTCATTTTCTTAGGATCTTTTTAAAAGGCCACCCTTCCTGTTTCAGGTTTTTGGATGGTTACTGTACATTGAAGTAGTTTAAGCATGTATTCTTAGCCACAGAATGCACTGCCTAGCATTCAAGAATGCTGATAAGAAAAGAGGGGAGGCAGATTCAAGATGCATATCTCTGGCCAGAACTGATATGGAACGAACATAGATGGATTTTCTAATGCTTAGTTAAAGTGAACAATTTCTCTCGCATATCCACAGAAATCAAAGAGCTGGAAAACAACATTAGGAAAGCGCTATCATTTGACAACCGGGGAGAGGAACACAGGGCAACAGCTACAACATCCGCAGACAACCAGCTTAAAGCTGGGGAGAATGGTGAAAATGGGGAGCTCAAACAAGCCCAGAGCAAGCGAATAGGCCTTGAAGAGTTCAACTTCATCAAAGTATTAGGAAAAGGCAGCTTTGGCAAGGTGGGTAGCTTTTCTTTCAGGTGCATGGGTTATTTTTGACTGTACTGCTTTAAAAGCATTCATACTGCTACTCAGAAAGTGGTTTCTTTCCATTCTTTATCTGCTAGGTAAAAACAGGTTTTACTGTAAGCATCAGGAATATGCACTTTAGGTCACTACAGTAACTAGGGTCAAGCATTTTGAAATGAGATGCCAATATTTCCCTGTTTCGGAGTATTGATAGTGAAGAATATCCATGCTTTTCAAGAAAGCAGTAATGAAGCAGGAAAAAAGAGCCTAAGAGTCTCTCTGCTCCCTAGAGAACATCCAGTTCAAATGTACTCACTTCAAGCAATTTATATGTGTGTGTGTTTTTCCTTGGTGGGTGTGCTCAGCTCTGGAGGAAGCAGAACTTGAGCATTTCCACTCAGATCTGACGAGCAGAAGCAGCCTAGAGAAACGCTGAACACACATGTATGCTGCAAAGATGTAATTTGCTAAATGCCTTCCCACAACAGGGAATTGATGAGGGTAGAACAGTGTATAGGATTTAAACCTTAAATAATAGCAGTTAAAATCAGCAGCTTTAAAATGACTAGAATTGTGTGTGATTGTATATCATTATGTTCATCACACAAGTCTTCCTACCAAAAATGGGAATTGAAGTGGGAAATAGATTAATGTTTATACCAACTTAATTAGCTTTTGAGATTAATGGACTTTAATTTTTTATCCCTTTATTAAAATATAAACCTCTGCATTCTTAACCTGTATCAATTTTATCTCTTAGCTTTCTCAAATCTGACTGCTACTAAATCTATCTTTTTCTAAAATTATATTACCATAATAATATAAAAAATGCAGTTTCATCCTGATGCGTATGTAGTTCCAATGTTATTTTTAAATCTTTATTTCCAGTGTATTAAAACACGCATGGAACCCTGCATTTATGATATGTTACACATATGTAAACAGAACTTCTGTTTGTTTTAGGTCATGTTAGCAGAGCTAAAAGGTAAAGATGAAGTGTATGCAGTGAAAGTCTTGAAGAAAGATGTTATTCTTCAGGATGACGATGTGGACTGTACGATGACAGAAAAGAGGATTCTGGCATTAGCACGGAAACATCCATACCTAACACAGCTTTACTGCTGCTTCCAGACAAAGGTAAGCTACATAAATCTTCTCCCAATCTGCACCCAAAGAACAGGGTTATCTATTTCGATTAAAAAGGACAACAGCACAAAAAAA